TCACAATTTATGATATTGACAAAAAATGGATTAATAAATTATTTTTTAATAATGAGGTAATTTCTTATTCTTTTATGCCCGAATAAAAAAAAAACAAAAAACAATTTTAATATAGCAATGTTCGATATATCGTTATTTTTGGTATAATATGAATGGTACATGTACTCTACCAATATTTTTATGGGAAATTTTGACAAAAACCCCTCATCACACAAGTCCAATTACAATGAGCTCAAATTTATTTTGTATTTTTAAGATAAATCCAAAACATTTTTTATTAATACAAATTAATTAAGTATCACCATTATACCCTTAGCTTATTATACGGTATCTTAAGGTTGAAAATAAATATACTTAATATTTATTTTTCTTTTTTTTCCTCTTACGTCGTCGTCGCACCACCTTTTTCTGGCATCTCACTCCTACCCACCATACCCAGTGCAGTCCAACAACCACGTCTGCTTCTGCTTCTCGCCGTCGCACCCCGCCGCACGAGGCCTTTCCGCGAATAAGAAAGCGAACAGTCCTCCCAAAAAATCATCAAAATCTCCCAGCAAAAAGGAAGTGAAGGATGGTGGTAAAGTTTCGACTTTTGCCACGTCATCAGGTAATTTATGCACTAATATTATTGGTGTTGGCTCTAACTGCTGTGAAGAAGTTGGCATATTTTCCGGTATGGCGGCGTTTGCAATATCTCCCCTGCCGAGCAGTTTGCCTTTGCCGACTTTTTCTGTGAGGCCAAAGGCGCTCATCACCTGCTGCAAGGCAGAGGCTGCTACCGGAATAGATACCGGAGCAACTGACTATCTCCGGCGAATGAATATGCATGCCTGATCTATTTCCACGGTCATTAATACATCATAATATATTAATATAGTTAATTAGTTTCTTTTTCGCTGAAATTTGATGTTTTCTTGTTAGAATTCATAGTGGTTTTTGATGTTTATACAGATGTGTATACAGAGTGGTTTTCATATTTATATAGTTGTTTATACAGAGTGGTTTTCATGTTTATATAGTTGTGTATACATAGTCATGTTTATAGAGTTGTTTTTATACATAGTGGTTTTCATGTTTATATAACTGTTTATACAGAGTGATTTTCATTGTGTCAAGCTTTGTCTCCGATAAATTTCTAGTGGTTTTCAAAAAAATTATAGTGGATTTCGTCTAGTTCGTAGTAGTTTTTCGAAGAATTTATAGTGGTTTTCAACAAATTCATAGCGGATTTCGACAAAATAGTGGATTCCATTTTGAAAACCTGTTGGATTTTTTTTAAATATTAAAAAGAAAAAACATTTTATAAAAATAAAAAAAATAATTAAACAAAATATTTTTTATTACAAAAAATGGGAAAAAATCAAAAAAACCATTTTAAAAAAATTGGAATTAAGAAAAAATAAACCATTAGAAAAACAAAAATAAAAATAAAACCATTTTCTAAAAAATCAAAATGAAGAACATGAAAAATATAAATAAGAAAAAACTGATCTAAAATAAAAATTAAAAAAAAAATTAAAAAATAAAAGAAAACCATTAAAAATTTAAAAAAGAAAAGGAGAAATAGATACTGAAATGGCGTGATATGTGGAGATATTAGGGGGTTTACATATTTAAAAAATGAATTAATTTTCTATAATAATATAATATGGTAACTTTCAGTAATATTAAATGGGGGTATTTTTGATAATTTGAGTCAATTAGATTTATAACAAATATCAAATAATAAAATTGGATTTATTTAAAAATCAATACCGGGTGTTTATCATATAGCCCTCATTTTTATGGGATAATTAGTGAAAACCCCCCAATACATTTGATTATATTAGGATGTATATAACTTCATTTTACATATTAGTGAGAACCCCCTATTTTATATTTTAATCAAACATAAATTCAGATTTTAAGTGGTATGTCTATATTACCCTTAGTTATCATATAAAATCACTAAACTTTATTTCTCTTCTTCATCTCCTTTTTTCTCTCCAGCCACCACCTCTCTCTCGTTTCTATCCCCAACTCCAACCCAAATCTCATATCCCCACCGCCACCCTCTGTCAACCGCCATCGTCGCTGCCCTCCGTCCACCGCCGTCGTCGCTGCCCTCCATCCACTGCCGTCGTCACCGCCCAACGGTGCCCTCGTTAATCCTTTACTCTTTTTGAGTCTCGCCAAATACCAGAAGCCATCATTCAGTAAGCAACAATCGCTCTCCGACTGCCTCGAGTCGCGGCTCTTGCCGATTCATTCAGCCCGAGGATGAAACCGGTGATAAAAAAAACTCATCGGAGCAAAGCAGTTAATTCATCCTATCTTTTGCCAATTTAGAACCAAATTTTCAGATTCGGTTCAGATCTGTATCTATGATTTTCGATAAAAATGTGGTTTGTAGTTGATTTTCGATATATTGTAGAGTGTAGTTGATTTTTTATACTAATTTTCTCTAAAACCATTTTAGGTATCCACAATGGCGATCTGATGTGGCAGAGTGGTAATTGACGATTAACGCAAGGGATTTGCGTCATTTCTTCACCTGAGAGTCATTGACATGTAGAAGTTGGGGATTGGTTGATACGGTGGTGATGGAACAAATCACCCTCACAGCCTTCGGATTCAACACATTGTCGGTGGAGATATAGCCCTTTTCTCGATGGATATGCGACTGTAATGTCCAGCATCTGGATTGAACTATAGTTGTTTAATCTCTTATATTGAGATTTTGTTATTTTATAGTTGATTTAGATAAATTATAGTTGTTTTCGATTTTTATAGTTGGTTTAGATAATTTTAAGTTGATTTGATAAATGTTTTGGTTAATTTCAATTTGTTATGGTTGATTTTAGTTAATTTGTAGTTGATATAATTTTAGTAAACCTGCTATTAAATATGCCTATTTTTTGTGATTGTTGGTTCGAGAAATAAACGAACAAAAAAAATAGTTGCTTTCAGTAATCTATAGTTGATTCTGGAAATAGTTGATTTTGGAAATAGTTGATTTTGGAAATAGTTGATTTCGAAAATAGTTGATTACGAAAATTTTATAGCTGTTTTCGGAATTTTATAATCGGTATGAAAACAAAAAACTGTACAATAAAAATAATAAAATTGAAAAAAAAAATATTTTTAAATAAATAAACGAATATTATAATTAAAAGAAAAAAAAAATGAAATAGATATTAGGGATTATTTGTCAAAAGCCCCCCATTACACAAGTTTAATTACAATAGGTCCAATTTTTTTAGAACTCTTTAAGATAAATCCATTTCAGCATTAAATAATAAAAAATGATAAATTATCACTATTATACCCCTAACTTAAAAGTAACGTATGTTTTATGATTGGAAAAAAAAATTAGAAAATATTTAATATATATTTTCCTATTATATCGTAACAACACATCCTCATATAATCCCACGATTGTGCGCCTCTTAATTAATACAGAGAAACCATTTCAAAGTAATATGTATTATCTTTGCCTATCTCTTTCTTTTTGATGATTCTTCCTCCATTATTGGGCTTGGAGAATCAGCAACTCCATTGAAGGAAATTGCAGAAACCCTAATTAAAGATTGGAGGAAATAAATTTTTTTAATGATTATAAATATTCCAGGTCCGGCGGCGGAAGGAGGAGGATTTGCATGTGGAGGAGCGGCGGCCGCCGCGGTGGAAGTGCACAGAGTATGTCTTCCGTCGCCGAGGACCACCGTGGAGAAACTCGTAAATTGTTTAGAGTTGATGAGAAGCCAACGATGCAGAAAAAATGAATTATCCCGCTATTTCGTGTGAAGGTTCATTGTGATGATGACGTAACCAGATGTAAAATATTGCATGGTTAATGGAAATATTAATATTTTTTTTTTTAAATACATTTACCAAAATTAATTTTTGTAGCAGGTGAATGGGTTCATAAACAGAAAAAAAACAACGAAAAAATTAAATGATAGTTGTTATTAGCCTCATATAATTTTCGTGTTGATTCGATCTCCTTATTTTCTCCCCGACATTAAAGGCTATTGAGAATGGAACACAGTAAAGTTACTGTTTGCTTCCATAATTCTAATAATATTATCAAACTCAAATTGGTTCTTTTTCTCTACTAAAAAAATATTCGGTTCTTTTGGTATCACTTCATAAGTTATGATTTCGTTAATCTTCAACTATTGATTATCTTTTCTTAACTATTTTTTTTTTCTATGATGGATTTTGGAGTATGCTTGTTCACATATGCTTGCCAAAGAGTGGTTTTCAATAATTATTTACAGATTTTTTTATAGTGGTTTTCAATAATTATGTACAGATTTTTATAGTGGTTTTCAATATTTTACATAAACCACTATAAAAATCTGTACAAAAATTATAGCGGTTTTCAATAATTACTGTACAGTTTTTTATATAACTGTATATATAAAGTGGTTTTCAAGTTTACATAGTTGTTATACAGAGTGGTTTTCATGTTATATAGTTGTTATGCATAGTGGTTTTTATGTTTATATAGTTGTTTATACATAGTGGTTTTCATGTTTATATAGAGTGGTTTTTATTTAAAAAAACTAGAAAGAAAAAAAAAACCATTTTTAAAAAAAAAATCGAAATTAAGAAAAAAGAAAAACCATGAAAAAACGAAAAATAAAAATGAAACCATTTTTTGAAATTAAAATAGAAAAATGAAAAATATGAATAAGAAAAAAATAATTTAAAATAAAAAACCGAAAATAAAATAAAAATAAAAATAAAATAAATACAAAATTTTCTTTTAAATTGAAATAAATAAAACTATTAAACAAAATAAAAAAAAACAAACTAAATACAATTCCTAAATTTTCAAAATGATAATAAATTGAAAATAATCTACATTTACAAATCTGTGTAGTTGTTTAGTCCATTATAATCGTAATACACATCAACTAAAACTTTTGAAATAGATCAAACTCGCCGGAGGAGCCTTCTCCACCACCATGGTTGCCGAAGATATAATCATTTACTGTGGTTGTCAACTCACCAAATTCTTCCTCTTCTTCCATTGTAGTAGCAGCAACAGGCGGTAAGGGAACATAATACCCCGTTGTTGGCGCCACCGGTGGTGGTGGTGGTGTTCGCGGCAGGTGCCGCACCATGTGAGAACCTTGCGGCTCTTGATACTGAACGAACCCACTACCACCGTCTGCGGCACCGCTGCGCCTGACGAACTGCGGCAGAGGATTCATAGAGCTTCGATCAGAGTCCTTCTGGGCACGATGCTTGTTGAGGAAAATGGTGAGTGGCTCCAAATAGTTAGTGAACCCCAACGAGGCCATTGCCGCTAGCACGTCCTCCGGCGTGATGGTTTTTCGGTATTCGCGGTGGCACCGCCCGTTCGCCTCGATGGTGATGAAGCTGATGAACTCGGAGATGCACTCTTGGATGACCTCCTTGGCGTCGTCGGCGATTTTGGCGTGGGCGGGGAGAATGCTTCGCATGATGCGTATGATATTGGCTATTGGCATGTACTGGTCCGCATCTCTTTTGAAGCCTTGCTGCTGCTCCAGGCTTACCTCTCCGGCGGCGGCGTTCGGTGGGGAGGGGATGTTAGCAGCATTGGTGGTGGTAGAAGCGGCAGGCGGGGCGTCTCCTTCTGTGATGACAATGCCTAAAATGAAATATATATATATAATATTAATCGGTTGAGAAATTTAATCAATGCTTGAACTTAAATTAGGATGACAATGCCTAAAATGAAATATATATAATATTAATCGGTTGAGAAATTTAATCGATGCTTGAACTTAAATCAGAATCACTAACTTCTGCTTATTTGAAAGCTTTGCCAAACACCACCTTAATTACAAAATAATATATCTCAATACTCATTGATCTTTCTTTTGTTAAACTTCATATGTAGTTCCAAAGCATGCATATACATAGTTCACGTATAAATTTGTAAATCAAATGAACACATAACGATATAAATCACATATTATAGAGGATGCATGCGATATTGGATCGATATATGGAATCCAATAAAGAAAAAATCAATATTTTTCAAAAATATATTAACCGAATAAACTTAAAACTCGAACTTATTCAAAGGACACGAATGAAATTGAGTAGCCATTTTTTGGTCCAATAGCTAACAAATTATGTGAAAAAAAGACGAGAAATTCATTTTTATTGCACTAATCTCTCACTCTCTGATATTCAATAACATTTTATATTATATGTCATGTTTAATTTTACTTAATACAACTATAATATAAGAATGTGTTGATGATGTCATTATTATATATACACATGACGTGTATCGATAAATGAAATACGAGATATAATTTAGAAACGAAATAGAGATGTATCCAAAAACAACAATTTAAGATTCTATTGAATAACTTTCCCCTTTTCATCACAACGAATCTCATCCCACATTAAGAATCCTTTCTAATTTTCTCCATATAGAATCAAATTTTGTTTTGTGGTATATCATAAAAAGAATAACCCTAATTGTTTGTTGATTGAATGAAAAAAAAAAAACTAAATACAATGCATTGGATTAAAGTGAAAAAACTTTGGGGATGTTTTGTATATATATATATGAGTTTGTGTGTGTGCGGGTGCGTGTATAGTGAAAATAGAAAAAGCAAATCAAGAGGAAACAAAGAAAATTAGAAATAAAATTAGTATGTATAGGAACAAAATGTAAATAATATATATTAACGTATGTTCTATCCAAAAAGAAATTTAAAAACTACCATAAAAATTAAAATACGTTACAGTAAAACATAAAAATAAATAAATAAATAAGATAGAATGATATTCGAAAACGACAAAAAAATACTTTTCTTTTTTATCTAATTCACACAAGGAGATCCATGAAGCAAGAAAAAAAATTATGAACTTTAATGGCACAAAATTCGCTAATAGAATATCAATTATCCAAAAACCAAACACAAAATTAACACATCCTTTTATTCCCGCAAGTGAGAGATGTGGATACAAACAAATCTATGCATATTATACTGTTCATATAGACTTTGTTTTAAAAACCGAACATAGGAAAAATTACCAGATGTGCGTGCTCTTCTGATATATTTATGTTCTATGTTTGAGCTTCCTCCTTTCTCCATCTTCAAGTTTTACTTTTGATTCAAATATTTTTTTTTTCACCTTCTATGTTTTGTGCACACAAATGTAACACAATAATTTTTATCCCACTTACTCTTATGTGTGTAATAAGTTAATGTGAAGCGTCTAAGGCACAATTGCATTCAATATATCGCAATTAAGACCTTTAAAATGAGTCCGCAAGTGTAAAATTAGGGTAGTGAATAGGGGCAAAATGAGCAAACAATATTAATTTTTGTTCCTAAAACCTAAAACTGGCGTGTGTAACAATGGAAAGGTCCTATTTTGTTTCCACTAATTGGTGAATAAAAGAGTTTGTGGAATTACTCGATTTAAAGACTAAGTGAGTTGTTGAAGAACACAAAAATTTTACTACTGAATATGATTGATTTTTTTTTTTTTTACTCAAGATGATGAAATATATGATTTTTATGAATATTAGACTTGATATATATAAAGTTATAAATTAATATGAAATAAAAAAAATATGTCAAAAAAGTTGTAAAAATTTCGTGAAAATCCTAATAAGCAATATTACATATGTATGAGTTGTTACACTTCTAATTGTTTAATTTTACTTATAACTAAGTGGAATTAATATTGATTCGGATGCTATCATTTATTTGTCGCTGCAATACTAAAAATAAAATATCCAAAAAATAATTAATTCGGGATAAACACGACTTGAATATGGCAATCATTTAATATGTCTTAAAAGAGAATTGTTGAATTGTTATAATAATAATATCATTGTATTTTCTAGAGAGACCAGTAACATAAATATTAAAGGCTAATTGCATTTATTACTTGCAAGGTTGAAATAATTAATTTTTATATTTCTTGAATTCTAAAAGCAAATAAAATATAATACAACATGTTTAGGTCATAATTTTTTATTAAGTAGGTCAGATTATACGAGATAGAGTTAATAAAAATCATTAGATATAGCCAAATAATTGAAAGTTAATTATATTGAAAAATAAAAGATGTCTCACAAGATTTACTTTTTTTCTCTCTATTTTCTGATCATGTTTTATTCATTAATATATATGTCAATTGCAATAAACTTATAAATAAGATTATTTATTTTGTGGTAATCGCATCACATTTTAATGGGATACTACCGGTTACTAATTGCCAATGAATAGATAATATCAAGCGAATAATTTCGCAAAATATCAGATCAAATGACGTAATCATGATATGTGATCAAAATTCAATAATATTTGATAGGTCAAATTACGGCCATCCCTGAGGTTTGGCCAAGTTACGAAAAACCCCTCTTGTTTGGAAATTACAGCCACCCCCCTCTTTTTAAACGTTTTAACATATGATTTATGTAATTTGGTTACCGAACCAATCGTATATTTAGTTCAGTAAACGGTATGAAATGTTGGCGTACCGAAATTTCGGCTCGGCCTTACCGAATTAACATCCCTAAATTTACCTCTAGAGAGGTCTTTTCGTAAGATAATACATTATTGAGGGGGTGGCTGTAATTACCCAAGAAGAAGGGGGATTTTCGTTATTTTTGGCCTTAATTTACCTTATTTGATATGTCGCTAAAGCTCATGGTGAAACAATTAGGCAGAAGAAACAAATCAGCAATATTATTCTAAAACTTGAAGACTTAGATATTACTAAAATTCTAACTTTTATTGCATGTATGTTTGGTTGTTTCAATTTATATAATAATATATAAAAATTGAATTTCACCCTCAATTGATTGACATTTGGTAATTTCAATTGATATCAGGTATTCAATTTAATCTCATGTGGCAAATTGATTGGTGAAAATAAATTATCAAAAAACATGTCATCATTTTCAAAATTAAAGGTAATTAAATATAATTTATTATTTTATTAATATATTTATATCCTACCATTTATAAAATCTCTAAATATATCAATTTTCTTGAAAACTATAAATAGATTTATTTTTTAATATAATTTGAACAGTAATTAATTTAATTTAAATTTAGTTAAATTCAATTTAAAGTCTTCCCTTATTATGGTTGCATGATTGGTGATGTTACGGAAATTTTGTATATTTTTAATAAATTTGAATTTATAATAAAAAAAATATGCAGAATAAATCATTTAATATTAGGGCAAATGGCAAAAAGGCCCATCATTTGAGACTTAAATGCACATTGGTCCAGAAAAAAACAGTCTCTCAATTAAACCCATTCCATGTTTTTAGTCTAAAATATCATCCATAATATAATTCTTATGCTATAACTTCCTTAATATTACACATTGACCCTGGATTTAAACAAATATATCACATTAACTCCCAAAATATTTTTTTTCAGAAAATAATTTTTTTTCTGAATTTTTTTTTCCGGCCAGATTTTGGCGTTGACTTTTTTTTTTTTTTGAAAGCTTTTTTTCCTGAAATTTTTTTCCGGCCGGTCAACAACCGTTGACTTTTTTTTTTCTTAGAAAAAAATATTTTAATTAATATTACTGTCTTGGCTACTAAATTACTGTCTCAGACAGTAATCTTACTGTTTGGGATAGTAATATTATGAATATTATTTTCCCGAACAGTAATATTATTAATATTATTGTCTAAGACAGTTAAATTACTGTTGGAGACGGTAATTTAGTAGCCAATGCAGTAATATTAATTAAAATACTTTTTTTAAGAAAAAAAATTCAAAAAAAAAGAAGTCAATTAACAGTTAAATTACTGTCTCCGACAGTTAAATAACTGCTGGAGACAATAATTTAGCAAAGAATACAGTAATATTGATTAATTTTTTTTTTAAGAATAAAAAAGTCAATTAACAGTTAAATTACTGTCTCCGATAGTTAAATAACTGCTAGAGACAGGAATTTAGCAACGAATACAGTAATATTAATTAAAATATTTAAAAAAAAATCAATTAACAGTTAAATTATTGTCTCCGACAGTGAAATAACAGCTGGACACAGTAATTTAGCAGCAAAGACAGTAATATTAATTAAAATATTTTTGAAGAAAAAAAAAAGTCAATTAACAGTTAAATTACTATCTTTGACAGTTAAATAACTGCTGGACATAGTAATTTAGCAGCCAAGACAGTAATATTAATTAAATATTTTTTTAAGAAAAAAAATTATAAAAAAAAAAGTCAACGCCGGAGACCCGGCGGTCAACGACAGTTTACCGGCCGGAAAAAACTTTCAGGAAAAAAAAAGTTTTCCAAAAAAAAAAGTCAACGCCGGAGACCGGCGGTCAATGCCGGAGACCGACGGTCAACGGCGGCGACCGGCGGTGTCCGGTGGTGGCGGGTCAAAATTGGGGTCAAAATTCAAATTAGGGTTAAAATTGGTTAATTGATGAAATTGGGCTAAATTGGGGTGTAAATCATGAAATTGGAGTTGAATTGAGTTTCGATGAATTGGGGGTAATTTTAGTATATATAAAAGGATTTTCCTTATTTGCAAATAAGTTTGAATGAGCTGGATTTATTTGAAAGACAAAAAAGTTGATGTCCCTCTTTTAATTAAATGCCCTTATTATGGGCCTTTTTGTGATTAACCCTT